CAAAACTATTGGCTCTCAGGAATATTTCCCTCAAACATGTTTAAAGAAAAGAGACGACCTTCAGTTCAACTTTATTTTAACCCACAAATGTACAAATCACAAAACAAGAACTTTAAAGCAAAGCTAAAAATAAAATGTATATATGTGAACAAGAAAGAAAACCACACATCTAAAATGAACATTAAAAGTAGACAATGAGCGCAAATACATCAAATGATGATGAAAACCTATAAAAATTTAAATCTAGATGTTTTTGTAGAATCTGGTTCATCAGAGATTTAATTTATATACATATATATATATATATATATATATATATATATATATAGATAGATATAATAATATTTATATGTATGTATATATATATATAAATATATATATATAAATACATATATATGTATATAAATATATATGAATATATATAAATACATATGTGTATATATATATACATATATATACATAATTGTGTGTATATACATATATGTGTGATATATATATCACATATGATATATATATGATATATATATACACATATATGTGTACATATATATTTGTGTGTGTGTGTGTATATATATATTTATACACATGTACATACACACATACATGCATACATACATACACACAACTTCAAAATAACATAAATTCTCAACCTGTACTGAAAACAGTTTCTGCGTCTCAGCGCCACCAGCTGGTGAGAGGTGGTGACGTCAATTTGAACCCCGCCCACTGGAACCGGTACTGAAAGCATAATGGAAACACAACCTTTGAATGTCCAGAGGACCAGATTTAATTTTTTTAGATTTTTCTACCTGGATTATTGAGCATGCATCAGGACAACCTGTTCTGTACTGAGTAGAGTAGAGCCGTGCTGTACCGGTACTACAGGTACTAATGGAAAAGGGGCATAAATCTCCCGCCCCATTCAGTCCTTGTTGGATATTTAACTCTTCCACTGCTGCTTTATTCTCCTCTTCCTTTACTAGTAACTCTGTTACGCTCTCTGAATCCTCTGTTTATATCAGTACTCATGAGCTGATCACTAAGCATCAGGAGACCAGTTAAGATCTTAGATCTAGTTGCCCCGTTTAAAAACCAGGCAACCAAAATGCACACCACACCCTTGGTTAAATGAGACCACCTGAGCAGCCAGATTTCAGTGCAGGAAAGCTGAGCGCAAATGAAAGAAAGACAAACTGCAGGTTTCTTTTATGTCAAAAATGTGTTGGAAAGACTATCAGACCACCATGAACTCATTAAAAAAAAATCTCCCAAATCATTACTTCAAATAGTCATAATTCCTGTTTTTTTAGCACCAAAAACCCTATTTTAAATGTGCCTCAGTCTGCCAACATTGAGGCGTCTCTAGACACTTGTAATAACTTTATCAGACACTTTTTTGAAAAGGTTGAGTTGATTAGGTCATCAATTCCACACTCCACAGCTTAACCCTATGTCTTTGTCCCTTGCTCAGCTGTCTTTAATCAGTTTGAACCCATTTCACTCTCATTTTTAAATAACGTTGGTCATATGAAACCCTCAGGTTCCCCTGCTGATCCCATCCTGCATTGTTTTTTTAAAGAAGTTCTACCCTCAATTTGACCCCCTGCTCTTGCTATTATAAATAGCAGTATGGTTACAAGTGTGGTTCCTGATGTTTTTAAACATGAAACATTCATCAATTAAAAAAACTGAACTTGACCCTTCATCTTGCTCAAATTTCAGACCAATCTCAAAACTTAATCCTGGAGAAAATAGATTTTAGTCACTGCTCACAAAATTAAAGGGTACACTAAAATAACACATCCTAGACCTCAATTAATTAAATATTCTCGTTGACAAACTTTATTATTAGCACAGTGGAATTGATTGAGAAGAAAATAACACAAAAATTATCAATGTAAATTCAAATTATTACACCATGGAGATCTGGATTTGGATTCATACTCAATATGAAAGTGGAAAATCACATGACAGCTGATTCAACGTCAGTGAATCTTCCTCAAGACAAGTCTAAATGAGGCACAGTAGTGTGTGTGGCTTCTACGTGCCTGTATAACTTCCCAACAATGCCTGGGTATGCTCCTGATGAGACGGCGGATGTTCTCCTGAGGGATCTCTTCTCAGACCTGGATTAGAGCATCAGTTAGCTCCTGAACAGTCTGCGGTGTGATGTGGCCTTGGTGGCTTAACCGAAACATGATGTCCCAGATGTGCTCAATTGGATTCAGGTCTGGGGAATGGGCAAGCCAGTCCATACCATCAATGCCCTCATCATATTTATTATCTGCATCGTGTTTATGTCTATATTCTGATTTACTTCATTTTGTATATTGCTTTGTGTGTTGCCTGTTGTTCTGTCTGTACAGCACTTTGGTTGGCCTTGTCGCTGTTATAAGTGCTTTATAAATAAAATGGTATGGTATGGTATCATCCAGGAACTGCTGACACACTTCAGCCACATGAGGCCTAGCATTGTCATGCATAAGAAGGAACCCAGGGACCACTGCACCAGCGTATGGTCTTATAATGGGTCTGATGATCTCATCCTGGAACCGTATGGCAGTCAGTGCACCTCTGGCTAGCACATGGAGAGCTGTGCGGCCATCCAAAGAAATGCCTCCCCACACCATGACTGACCATGACATGACTAGTTTCAATCTTATCTCTCAAATAGGAGTTTTTCTTTAAATCTAGTATTCTTCCTCTGTGTCTCCTCTGAAATTTGGGGTGCCCCAGGGGTCGATATTAGTGCCTGTTCTTTGTACTTGCTGCCTCTGGGTTTTATCTTTAAAAAGCACAGTCTCTTTTCATTGCTTTGCAGATATCTACCTGTAACTACAAATGACAGCCAGTCTGCTGTACATATGTTACAGGATTGTCTTAGGGATGTACAGGCATGATTGAGAACAAAATTTCTGAACCTGAATAAGACAATAACAGAGATTCTGTTGTTCGGTCAATGCAACACCCTGCTTGGGCATGACAGTGTGGTTGGTCCTCTGTCCTCCTTCTGTAGTCTGTTTGTAAAAACCTGGGTGTGATGGTTGATCCTCTGTTTAAATTTGATAAGCATATTAGTGCTGTTAGTCAGTTTCTTTCAGCTGAGGATCCTTGCAAAGATGAAACCTTATCTTCCTCAGCCTGATTGATCTAAAGAGGGCTATCCACGCATTTATTACAATGCGTTTGGATTATTATAATTCTTTGTATTTAGGGTTGGACCAGAGCTCCCTGCAATGATTGCAGAGCATCTAAAATGCTGCAGCCCGTCTGTTGACAAACACAAGGAGTCACAAATCTGTTATCTGTCAAATCTGTTTTACACTCCCTTCACTGGTTCCCTGTTGTTTTTCAGGTGAAATTTAAAGTTTTATTGATTGTTTTGAAGTGTTCAAACTCCATGGGCCCATCTTACCTGAACTGGGACAAGTAGGGTCCAGTCGGCCCTTACCGGTACTAATGGAAAAGGGGCATAAGTGAGCTCTTGCAGTCCTACACTCCATCCAAAGCCCTGAGGTCAGCCAACCAGCTCTTGTTGACTGTCCCTAAAGCGAGGTTGAAGACTAGAGGTGACAGCCTTCTCTGTGGCAGCACCCAGACTGTGGAACAGACTCCTTCTGTCTGTGAAGCTCTCTGTCAGTAGATCAGTTCAAGTCCAGACTGAAAACACATCTGTTCTCCCTGGCCTTCACTCAAATTAGTACTTGATTGACTCGAGTTTTGGGGAAATTGCAGCAAATATGCAATAGCTGTCTTGATTTTTATTTGTACTATTCTTTTATTGGTATTTTACTGCAAATTTTATCATATATTTTTATTAAACTCAGTTTTATTTTGTCATATTTTATCATATTTTTACGGTGACCCTAAGGTGTAAATGAACAACACTAGAAAAAAACATAATTACATTAAGCCAAAGCGGAAGTGGCCCGGATTACATTTGAAAAAATGGAATGACTTTTTTTTTTAACTTTATTAACAGCATAAAATCGAACAACAGAGCATTATGCAATACAGCTTGATGCAGGCTCAATAATCCAGGTAGAAAAATCTAAAAAAGTTAAGTCTGGTCCTCTGGAGGCCTCCGTGTTCAACTGTCCCCCTCTTACAATGCTGTTATTGCTAGTATTACTCAGCCCCCTGTGGATAGCAAACAGCCATCAGGGTGCTAATGATCCATTGTTAGGCTGATGGTCCTCCTTGATCATGTGAGCAGCTGGTTTTGGCTGTCAACAACAAACTGGTTGATCCACTATGAGAAGGTGCTATTTATAAGACTGAGCTGAATACAGCTCGTCAGACTGAAGAAGTCTTTCGGATGAAAGATGAAACATTTCTACGATTTTATTTATTTATTGTTGTTGTTTTTTGAACATTCAGAGGACCTGACAACTTTTTTAGAATATACAGTACACACACATCTCCGTTGTGTGTGTGTATACTGTATATTGTTCTGTTGTTCAGTTTTATGCTTTTAATAAAGTTAAAAAAAGAAAAAAACCTTCCTGTTTGGCTTAATATAATTCCGTTTTTTCAAATGTAATTCCTGTTTTTTCTAATGTGATTCCGGCCACTTCCGCTTTGGCTTAATGTAATTCCTTTTTTTCTAATGTGATTCTGTGTTTTCAGATGTTGTTCATTTACACCTTAGGGCCACCGTACATTTTATGTACAATGTTGTATTCTTGTTAAACACTTTGGTCAAATGTGGTTGTTTTTAAATGTGCTATATAAATAAACTTTGAATTGAATTGAATTGAATTTTTATTGTTCTATAAAATTACTCCCATTGATTTTATTGTTAAGCACTTTGGTAACAACTGCTGTTATAAATGTGCTTCATAAATAAAGTTGACTTGACTACTTGAAGTCCTGCTCCTTTGTGACCTCTGAATCTTGAAAACTACAAACATTCCCTCGTAACTCTCTCAGCGACAGGGGACATCAGCGTACTGCTTGTCTTTAAGAGTATCAGTAGTGATTTGTGATTTATGTTCCAGTGCTCCAAGCTTCTATCTGACACCTCTGTGATCCAGTTCTACCCCAGCAAGTTTGTCCTCATCACTGACATACTTGACACCTTTGGTATGTTTCCTTTCCCTTTTATTGGTCACCTAAAAAAACAAGCCTTTCTGACATCTTAGTTGTTCACAGGTCACCTGGTTTATGACAGAATCTGGACCATGTGTTCAGACCCGAGACCCCTGTCAGGTAAGGAACCTCAGCTTGTTTAGTTCTGTGTACCAGTGAACTTGCTTAAGTTTTTAAGGTGCCTTACTGGGATTGCAACTAGCTGATGAACATCATTTACACTAGAATCCCCAGAACTTTTCGTGTTCTTGGTGGTTTTCTTTTTTTTTTTTTTTT